ATGGCAAGTAACATTTGCGCACCTGAGAAAACGCAAATGATGGATCGTCTCACGGCACCATGATTGTATGCGGTGACAGATAAAAAATAAAACATAAGGATGAAATGGGAGGATGTTGCACCTGGGAGAAGAAGGTTGATTATTCCTTGGGTGAAATTTGATCCAACTAACCATGTTAGTAAATCTTGCAAACAAGGCAGCCAGGAAGCTTACAGCACTTCGCCGTATCTCCTCATCTGCTTGACAGTAGGGTTTAGCAAGATCCTGTACGAGGCACAAGTACGCTCGCACCTTGAGTATGCTCCACTTTCTTGGTTATTTGTTTTTTTTTTTGTTGTCCTGCCCCCCCTCTCATCTGCACTGCTTCGACAGAGTAGAGAACAAAGAAGGTAAAAAGCAAGACGTCTCATCTCTCGCCCTGGACCAAAAATCCTGGCGTAATCTGTGAGCATTTCACAAGAGCCCTTCAACATAGGAGGGATAGGGTGGCCTTACTGTTATGGTACAAGGCCAATATTGTACAAAAAACCACACTTGGATCCACTTCGAGGACAGCGTGAAACAAGCTTTTATCCACAAGACGGCAGAAAGCAGCAACTCACTCTGGCTGTACCCTTCTCGCAGACATCACTCCATCGCGTCATACATACCCAGGATGACTAGAGTATGGCACACATTCGTACAGCATAAAGAAGTCAACGAATAAAGTCAGTGATCAAATGGAAAATGCTGCCCACAGATGCTCCAACTTCATTCTGTTTCCTACTTGTATGTCTCATAACAATAAAAAATGCTTTCAAATGAGCATATGAAGGTAACAGCTCTTAGAGCTTGCCAAAGAATGAGTTAGGAATCCTTAACCAGAAAATTAGCAGCAAATAAAGCTAGGGATCCATAACCTGTCAAACCCTGTGTAAGAAAAAAAAAAGAGAGAGAGAAGAGAAGAGAGAGAAGAGATGAGAGAGAAGAGAGAAGAGAGAGAGAGAGAAGAGAGAGAGAAAGAGAGAGAGGAGAAGAAGAGAGAGAGAGAAGAGAGAGAGAGAGTAGAGACGAGTAGAAGAGAGAGAGAGAGAAAAGAGGAGAGAGAGAGGGAGAGAGTGGAGAGAGAGAGAGAAGAGAGAGGAGAGAGAGAGAGAGAAAGAGAGAGAGAAGAGAGAGAGAAGAGAGAAGATAGAGAGAGAAGAGAGAGAATAGAAGAAGAGAAGAGAGAAGAGTGGAGACAGAAGAGACAGAGAAGAGAGAGAAGAGAAGAGAGAGAGAGAAAGGAGGAGAGAAGAGAGAGAGAATAGAAGAGAAAAGAGAGAAAGAAGAGAAAGAGAGAGAGAGAAGAGAGAGAAGAGAGAGAAGAAGAGAGATGAAGTAAAGAGAGAGAACAGAGAGAAGAGAGAAGAGAGAGAGAAGAGAGAGAGAAGAGAGAAGAGAAAGAGAAGAAGAGAGAAGAGAGAAGAAGAGAAGAGAGCAAGAAGAAAGAGAGAGATGAGAGAGAGAGAGAGAGAGAGAGAGAAAGAGGAGAGAGAGAAGAGAGAGAGAGAGAGAGAGAGAGAGAGAGAGAGAGAGAGAAAGAGAGAGAGAGAGAGAGAGAGAGAGAAAGAGAAGAGAGAGAGAAGAAGAGAGAGAAGAGAAGAGAGAGAAGAGAAGAGAGAGAAGAGAAAGAAGAGAGAAAGAGAGAAGAGAAAGAGAGAAGAGAAGAGAGAGAAAGGAAAGAGAGAAGAGAAGAAGTAGAAGAGAGAGAGAAGAAGAGAAGAGAGAAGAAGAGAAAGAGAAAGAAGAGAAGAGAGAAGAGAGAAGAGAACAGGGAAAGAAGAGAATGAGAGAAAGAAGAGAAGAAGAAAAGAGAGAGAAGAAGAGAGAGAAGAAGAGAGCATAAGGAGAAGAGAAGGGGAGAGAGAGAGAGAGAGAGAGAGAGAGAGAGAGAGAGAGAGTAGAGAGAGGAGAGAGAGAGCAAGAGAGAGAGAGAGAGAGGGGGGTGGGGGGGGGGGAGAGAGAGAGAGTTGAGCCACCAGAAATTGTTGAAAGATGTGCAGACCAGCTAGCAGCACCTCTAACACGCATCTTTCAGCACTGCCTATATACAGTGTAAATGGCACTCTCTATGGAAAGAGGCAAATGTAGTCCCTGTTCACAAAAAGAAGAGCAGAGCAGAAATCAGCAACTACAGACCATTTGTCACTCTTGTCCATCACTTGGTTAAGATCCTTGAGACAATAATCCTCAAGACAAATGACAGTTTTTTTTGACCACCACTCACTACTTTGGTGATCGTCAATATGGCTTCAGAAGGTTACTCTGCTGATGATCATGTTTTAAACCTCTCCACTAAGTGGCCCAGTCACTGGATGAATCCAAAGTCAGCTGTAATTGGTAGAGCACGACAATGCTGGCACTTTCGACCGGTGTGTCACCAGAGCCTCTTAGCAAAACGTCAAGCACAGGAATTTGCCAGGCTCAACGCTAGTCTCCTCAGTGATTACCTTCATGGTAGATCTCTAAGTGTAGTTCTCAATGGAACGGAATCAGCAAGACATCCTATTGGGGCAAGTGTTCCACAAGGAAGCGTGCTGGGTCCATTGTCATGGAATGTCTACTTCAACGACCTTCTTCATCTCATCCCAGAATCACATGCATATGCAGACGACTGTACACTGACATTCACTTATCCAAGAGAAGAAATGCCAGCTGCTCTAAGCTACATCAATCACCAGCTGAGAGCTGTATCAGCTTGGGGAAATAGATGGCAAGTAACATTTGCACCTGAGAAAACGCAAATGATGATCGTCTCTAGGCACCACGATGGTAATGCTGGGGCAGTAGTAAGGATGAATGGGAGGGTGTTGGCACCTGGAGAAGAAGTTGATATCCTTGGGGTGAAATTTGACTCCAAACTAACCATGAAGAACCATGTTGTAAATCTTGCAAACAAGGCAGCCAGGAAGCTTACAGCACTTCGCCGTATCTCGCATCTGCTTGACAGTAGGGGTTGCAAGATCCTGTAAGAGGCACAAGTACGCTCACACCTTGAGTATGCTCCACTTTCTTGGTTTGCCTCCCCCCCCTCTCATCTGCGACTGCTTGAGAGAGTAGAGAAGAGAGCAAGACGTCTCATCTCTCGCCTGGACCCATCCTGGATAGATCTGTCATTTCAGCAGAGCCTTCAACATAGGAGGGATGTGGGTGGCCTTACTGTTATGTACAAGGCCAATATTGTCAAAATACCACACTTGGATCCACTTCGAGGACAGCGTGAAACAAGCTTTTATGCCACAAGACGGGCAGAAAGCAGCAACTTCACTCTGGCTGTACCCTTCTCCAGAACATCACTCCATCTGAGATCATACATACCCAGGATGACTAGAGTATGGAACACATTCGAGATAAAGTCAGTTGAGCAAATGAAAATGCTGGCCCACAGATGGCTCCAACTTCATCCTGTTTCCTACTTGTATGTCTCATAACAATAAAAATGCTCTCAAATGAGCTGATGTAGGTAACAGCTCTTAGCTTGCCAATAAAGTTAGGAATCCTTAACCTGTAAATAGCTTGTCAATAAAGCTAGGGATCCTTAACCTTGTCAAACCCTGTGTAAAAAAAGAGAGAGAAAGAGAGAGAGAGAGAGAGAGAGAGAGAGAGAAGAGAGAGAGAGAGAGAGAGAGAGAGAGAGAGAGAGAGAGAGAAAAGAGAGAAAAGAGAGAGAGAGAGAGAGAGAGAGAGAGAGAGAGAGAGAGAGAGAGAGAGAGAGAGAGAGAGAGAGAGAGAGAGAGAGAGAGAGAAGAGAGAGAGAGAGAGAGACAGAGAGAGAGACAGAGAGAGAGACAGAGAGAGAGACAGAGAGAGAGACAGAGAGAGAGACAGAGAGAGAGACAGAGAGAGAGAGACAGAGAGAGAGACAGAGAGAGAGAGACAGAGACAGAGACAGAGAAGAGAGACAGAGAGAGAGACAGAGAGAGACAGAGACAGAGACAGAGAGACAGAGAGAGAGAGACAGAGAGACAGAGACAGAGAGAGACAGAGAGAGAGAGAGACAGAGAGAGAGAGAGACAGAGAGAGAGAGCCACAGAGTACAATGTAAACAAACAGACGAACATGTCTGGTTATGGTTCATACACGTTCATACAAACACCTTACATTGTGTACAAGTTGTCTCCACAGTGGTACAGTAGAATAAATAAAGAGCAACTCTTCCATTCTCATGTAACATCACTTTTAGAAGGAAAGATGCTCTGACAAGTTAGTACAGAAGAATAAACAAACAGCAACACTCCCATTTTCATGCAACACATCATTTTTAGAGTGAATATTATTATTACAATCATGATAAAAAAAAGTGCTAAACCCACAAGGGTCATGAAACTCTATAGAGTGAAGGCATATGAAAGGAATATTTTTTACAGTTATCCCCCAGTAACTGGTGTTTGACTCAAGAGAACGTAATTCTTCCGACACTCCTACAAACATCTTGGTAAACACATCTTATATTTACGTCAATTTTTATACTGGGGTATGTATCATGTTTGTGTGTTATGTAATGTATTTCTTATACAATTTTGAAAAATATCACAGATTAATAGAAATGTCCATATTATCAAAATATGACATTTAATGCACCCAAGAGATTATTAATATGGCGTCTTCAACAGTAGAGAGATTCTTAGTGATTTTAATGAGTACCTGGATGCCTGCACAATAAGTATATTTAGATACAGGTACACAAAAGTATAGTTATCAGAGTACATATAAAATATGTAATAATTTTAAAACACTCGAAATTTTGGAAAGTTTCCGGACATAATAGAGAGAGGTGCTCACGGAGAATGTAAACAAACCGGGTGGAGCACGTCGTATTAGAAAGAGGGGAGCCGTATAGCAAGTTTTGGTCATAGTAATTTGAAATTACCGTATTAGCGGAACACCATAAAGCGAGGACCTAATGTATACCCCACCCAGTCCAACTGCACAATGTAATGACTACTGTAATTAAGGGAAAACTAACTAATGCCACTTACCACCCATGTGACAGACACAAGCATACAGATTGTACAGCTGACTAATGCTGGCTCCACTTGCTACATAGTCTGACACATCTAAGCCATCAAGTGGAAAGATCACTCTGTCATCCAACTTGGTGCTCATTGTTCCATGAAATAAAAACCTGGGGAAATACAACTCCAGTAAGTAGATAATTAATGGATTTAAACACAAACACAATTCTACCTGCTATGTCTTAATGAAAATAACATTATACTATTTTTTACTATAAAAAAAAGACTGAAGGTTAAAATAGTAACAAGCGTAGCTCAGTTGGTAGTGCACTCAGCACACACACTGAGGTCCATGATTTTATCCTCAGTATGGGTGGAAACATTGGGAGTGTTTCCTTAAGACACCTACTGTCCCTGTTCACCTAGCAGTAAGTAGCTACCTGGGTATTAGCCAACTGGTGTGGGTCACATCCTGGGGGACAAAATTAACTTAAGTTGCCTGAAATGCTATGCATAACCAGGGGCTTTCTATTTTTTTTTTTTTCAACAAGTTGGCCATCTCCCACCAAGGCAGGGTGACCCAAAAAGAAAAAACTTTCATCATTATTCAACACTTTCACCTCACTCACACAATCACTGTTTTTGCAGAGGTGCCCAGAATACAACAGTTTAGAAGTTTTTTTTTTTTTTTTTTCAACAAGTCGGCCGTCTCCCACCAAGGCAGGGTGACCCAAAAAGAAAGAACATCCCCAAAAAGAAAATACTTTCATCATCATTCAACACTTTCACCTCACTCACACATAATCACTGTTTTTGCAGAGGTGCTCAGAACACAACAGTTTAGAAGCATATACGTATAAAGATACACAACATACCACTCCAAACTGCTAATATCCCGAACCCCTCCTTTAGAGTGCAGGCATTGTACTTCCCATTTCCAGGACTCAAGTCCGCCTATATAAAAATAACCGGTTTCCCTGAATCCCTTCACTAAATATTACTCTGCTCACACCCCAACAGATCGTCAGGTCCCAAATACCATTCGTCTCCATTCACTCCTATCGTACACGCTCATGCACGCCTGCTGGAAGCCCAAGCCCCTCGCCCACAAAACCTCCCTTACCCCTTCCTTCCAACCTTTTCGAGGACGACCCCTACCCCGCCTTCCTTCCCCTACAGATTTAAATGCTCTCCATGACCAAACCACCTCAACAACCCCTCTTCAGCCCTCTGACTAATACTTTTATTAACTCCACACCTTCCCCTAATTTCCACACTCCGATTTTCTGCATATTATTTACACCACACATTGCCCTTAGACAGGACATCTCCACTGCCTCCAACCGCCTCCTCGCTGCTGCATTCACAACCCAAGCTTCACACCCATATAAGAGTGTTGGTACTACTATACTTTCATACATTCCTTTCTTTGCCTTCACAGATAATGTTTTTTGACTCCACATACACCTCAACACACCACTCACATTTTTTCCCTCATCAATTCTATGATTAACCTCATCCTTCATAAATTCATCTGCCGACACATCAACTCCCAAGTATCTGAAAACATCCACTTCTTCCATACTCCTCCCCAATTTGATATCCAATTTTTCTTTATCTAAATCATTTGATACCCTCATCACCTTACTCTTTTCTATGTTCACTTTCAACTTTCTACCTTTACACACACTCCCAAACTCATCCACTAACCTTTGCAATTTTTCTTTAGAATCTCCCACAAGCACAGTATCATCAGCATAAAGTAATTGTGTCAATTCCCATTTTGTATTTGATTCCCCATAATTTAACCCCACCCCTCTCCCGAACACCCTAGCATTTACTTCTTTTACAACCCCATCTATAAATATATTAAACAACCATGGTGACATTACACACCCCTGTCTAAGACCTACTTTTACCGAGTAGTAGTCTCCCTCTCCTCTACACACCCTAACCTGAGCCTCACTATCCTCATAAAAACTCTATACAGCATTTAGTAACTTACACCTATTCCATATACTTGCAACATCTGCCACATTGTTCCCCTATCCACTCTATCATATGCCTTTTCTAAATACATAAATGCAATAACTTCCCTACCTTTATCTAAATACTGTTCCCATATATGCTTCAATGTAAACACTTGATCTACACATCTCCTACCCACTCTGAAACCTCCTTGCTCATCAGCAATCCTACATTCTGTCTTACCTCTAATTCTTTCAATAACAACCCTACCGTACACTTTTCCTGGTATACTCAGTAAACTTTTTTTTTTTTTTCAACAAGTCGGCTGTCTCCCACCGAGGCAGGGTAACTTATTCCTCTATAATTTTTACAATCTCTTTTGTCCCCCCTTCCCTTTATATAAAGGGAGTATACATGCTCTCTGCCAATCCCTAGGTACCTTCCCCTCTTTCATACATTTATTAAACAAAAGTACCAACCATTCCAACACTATATCCCCCTCTGCTTTTAATATTTCTGTCATGATCCCATCAGTTCCAGCTGCTCTACCTCCTTTCATTCTATGTAATGCCTCACGTACCTCCCCCACACTTGCATTCTGCTCTTGTTCACTCCTAAAAGATGGTATACCTCCCTGGCCAGTGCATGAAATTACTGCCTCCCTTTCTTCAACATTTAAAAGTTCCTCAAAATATTCTCGCCATCTACCTAATACCTCCCTCTCCCCATCTACTAACTCCCCTGCTCTGTTTTTAACTGACAAATCCATAAGTTCCCTAGGCTTTCTTAACTTGTTTAACTCACTCCAAATTTTTTTCTTATTTTCATTAAATTTCTTGACATGCCTCTCCCCTCATCATCTGCTCTCCTTTTGCCCCTCACCACTCTCTTCCTTTTTCTTTTCTCTCCATATACTCTGCTCTTCTTAAACACTTCTGTTTTTGTAAAAACCCCTCTCTAACCCAACCTTCTCTTTTATCACACCCTTTACTTCACATTCCCCCAAATCACTCCTCTTTCCTCCCACCCACCCTCCATAACCACAAATTTCTGCCCCACATTCTAAAACTGCTTTTTTTAAAACTCATCCAAACCCTTTTTTCAACACCTCCACACCATCTTTGCACTACCCCACCTTTCTCCCAATAGCGTTATATTCACCCGAACCCCTCCTCCCTTATTTATACAATTTCACTTCCCTCCTACTTCTTGTTGCCACCCTCCTCTTTTTGCCACCGTCCTCTTTTCCCATCTACCTCTTACTCTAACTGTAGCTACAACTAAACAATGACCCAATATATCAGTTGTCCCTCTATAAACATGCACATCCTGGAGCCTACCCATTAACCTTTTATCCGCCAATACATAATCTAACAAACTACTTTCATTATGTGCTACATCATACCTTGTACAGTGGACCCCCGCTTAACGATCACCTCCCAATGCGACCAATTATGTAAGTGTATTTATTTAAGTGCGTTTGTACGTGTATGTTTGGGGGTCTGAAATGGACTAACCTACTTCACAATATTCCTTATGGGAACAAATTCGGTCAGTACTGGCACCTGAACATACTTCTGGAATGAAAAAATATCCTTAACCGGGGGTCCACTGTACATTTATTTATCCTCTTTTTCCTAAAATATGTATTACTTATTACCAAATCTCTTTCTACACAGCTCAATTAAAGGCTCGCCATTTACATTTACCCCAGGCACCCCAAATTTACCTACTACTCCCTCCACAACATTTTTACCCACTTTAGCATTGAAATCCCCAACCACAAGTACTCTCACACTTGGTTCAAAACTTCCCATGCATTTACTCAACATTTCCCAAAATCTCTCTCTCTCCTCTACACTTCGCTCTTCTCCAGGTGCATATACGCTTACTATAACCCACTTTTCACATCCAACTTTTATTTTACTCCACATAATCCTTGAATTAATACATTTATAGTCCCTCTTTTCCTGCCATATTTTTAACCCTTTCAACATCATTGCTACTACTTTAGCTCTAACTCTATTTGAAACCCCTGACCTAATCCCATTTATTCCTCTCCACTGAAACTCTCCCACCCCTTTCAGCTTTGTTTCACTTATAGCCAGGACATCCAGCTTCTTCTCATTCATAACATCCACAATCATCTCTTTCTTATAAATTTGCCACAACATCCACGCACATTCAGACTTCCTACTTGACAATTTTCTTCTTATTCTTTTTAGTAATCTTTACAGGAAAAGGGTTACTAGCCCATTTTTCCCCCGGCATTTTAATTGACTTTTACAACACACATGGCTTACGGAGGAAAGATTCTTATTCCACTTCCCCATGGATATAAAAGGAAAAGTAATAAGATCAAGAACTATTAAGATAAAATCAAAGAAAACTCAGATGAGTGTGCATAAATAAACGAGTACATGTATGTGTAGTGTGACCTAAGTGTAAGTAGAAGTAGCAAGACATACCTGTAATCTTGCATATTTATGAGACAGACAAAACACACCAGCAATCCTACCATCATGTAAAACAATTACAGGCTTTCGCTTTACACTCACTTGGCAAGATGGTAATTTCTTGACAGTGCCTCTCCCACTCTATCATCTGCTCTCCTTTTGCACTCTCTCACCACTCTCTTCACTTTTCTTTTACTCTCCATATACTCTGCTCTTCTTATAACACTTCTGTTTTGTAAAAACCTCTCATAAGCTACCTTTTTCTCTTTTATCACACCCTTTACTTCATCATTCCACCAATCACTCCTCTTTCCTCCTGCACCCACCAACTTTTGCCCCACATTCTAATACACTGCATTTTTAAGACTATTCCAACCCTCTTCAACCCCCCCACTACTCATCTGTGCACCAGCCCACTTTTCTGCCAATAGTCGCTTATATCTCACCCAAACTTCCTCCTCCCTTAGTTTATACACTTTCACTTGTTGCTGCCATTTTCCTCTTATCCCATCTACCTCTTACTCTAACTGCAGCTACAACTAGATAATGATCCGATATATCAGTTGCCCCTCTATAAACGTGTACATCCTTTAGCCTACCCATCAACCTTTTATCCACCAATACATAATCTAACTACTTTCATTACGTGCTACATCATACCTTGTATATTTATTTATCCTCTTTTTCATAAAATATGTATAGTATATAGTATGTAAATGATGTCAGCTAGGTCTGTAAAAGTTGTATCATGTACTTGTAAAAATAATTATTGTTATTCACACTAAAACTGAAAAAATATTAAAATCCATAAAATATTAGTGGATGCAACATAAAAACCCATAAATCTGATCTTTTCAGATGAAAGTGAAAATGAACTTTATGTATTTATTAAGCAACCATCTAAGAAATATCTGCAGTGAGACACCAGGTTTAAACAGTTTACACAGTAAAGTGGCAAACACTGAGCCAGATACTCAAGTTGAGTACATCTTAAATGTTATATATACATTGCACTGATAGCCATATACCAGAATATAGAGAATATATTTGTGTGCATAAGAAATCACAGACAAAAGTACCAAATGAAAACAATTTCTTAAGTAATTTTTTTTTGTGTGTGTTGGGGGGGTGAGAATTGTATAGTGAGAAGAGGAAGGAACAGAAGGGAAAAAAAAATAAGGAGATAGAACAGAGAGAAAAAGATAGAAAAAAAGGTATAAATTGGAGGAAAAGAGAAAAAATTTAAGAAAAAATAAAGCAAAGGAAGCATATTTTTAGTATCTACAAGGTACGGCAATTACAACTAACCTGTAGAGATAAAAAGAAAACTATGATTGTTAACTGCAGTAAATCCTGTGGTGATAAACTGCTGAGAGAAATGCTACATAATGGGAGGTTGTCAAGGACAATTACAGCATGATCTCCAGAAGCAATTAATATACTAGGGCTGCACAGCCTAGGTGCAAAATGATAGGTCAATAATACAAGCCTAAGTGCCATTTTGGGAGAAATGTATGTAGGTAAGAGGAAAAATTACAAAAAAGTGAAGAAAAATGGAGGAAAAAGAAAGAATGGCAGGAGGGTGAAAGGAAAAAAAGGGGCACAGGAGAAAAGGAAGAAGAGGGAAAAAAATGATGAAGGAGCAATGGGATGGCAAAAGTAGGAGAGAAAAAAAAAAAAAGAGGAAGGAAACTAGTGGGGAGAGGACGAGGAGGATGTACAAATCAAATGGGTGGATTTGATGTGTAAAAAAAACTGTTGCAATATCCTACAATATTACATACTATAACTGGATTAACAGTAACAAAACTAGTTAACTCATTGAGAGAGAAGAGAAATCAAGACGAACGGTAAGATGCTAAATTTGTTTTACGCAGAAGCAACTCCAGCAATTTGGAAACATTGTTTGCATATTCTGTTAAAATGTAATGAAGATTGGTAAGTGATGATTTTCTAATGACTCAAGAATACACTTAGAATCTGCAACATGGATAACAAAAAACTTACAAGATGATTACAATATCTCTAGGCTTCCTGTCTATCACCTTATGTATACTGCATATGTAACTAATCATCAATGTACTTACCCTTATATATCTATGCAATAAAGTTAAATCTGCAGAAAGTTCTTATACGACTAAACATTCTATAGCTAAAAGCTGTTCACATGCAGGGAAGAAATACTTCTATTTCATTATAAGTTGAAACAAATAAAAACTTTATTTTAAAGTGCTGCTGAAGCTGTAATGGGAAAGAGAGAGCAAATAACTAACCGTTCTAGATGTATAATGAGGTAGGGTGGATATCGCCAAACAGAAATTGTTTTAGTAGCAGGTTGTTTTCGCTCACATTTAGGGCAGAACCAGGAATCTGTTTCCTCCAGCATCTCACTGTAAATAAGGAGAGATTCCTTATTGCAGCTTACCTTCTCTAAATCATGAAGTAATTAACCCTTTCACTGTCGCGACCCCTGCTCACACACTTGCTCTCAGTATCGGAAAATACAGTGGACCCCCGCATAACGATCACCTCCGAATGCGACCAATTATGTAAGCGTATTTATGTAAGTGCGTTTGTACGTGTATGTTTGGGGGTCTGAAATGGACTAATCTACTTCACAATATTCCTTATGGGAACAAATTCGGTCAGTACTGGCACCTGAACATACTTCTGGAGTGAAAAAATATCGTTAACCGGGGGTCCACTGTATTAGGAAAAAAAAAAAAAAAATTTTCTTACCAAAATGTTAAGAACATTTTTCCGAGTGTTTCAAAAGATTTTTTTTTTTCTTTTGCGATCAGTACTACCAACATACAGAGCCATGAAGTTGACAAAGTGAGCCACTTATGGCAACATCGGTGACTGCCGCTCACTTGGTAATATTTTTACTTTTATTCTATTTTTTCAAGTAACTTTTGTGGCCTGTGAGACCAATATAATGTGTAATGCATATATATCCACTCGTTTTATGCAACACAATAACTGCACAAATATTATCATTACATTTACAAAACCTGTTTACACAAACTAGCAATAAAAAAAGTTGTTTATTACTATTATTCTATAATATACACAGAGTCACTGGACACATTCTTAGAACTGCTACAGCTTGTGGAAGGTTGTGTGTGGGTGGTTGAGTGTAGCCTTTGTTGTGGATGTGCTGAGAGCGGCATGGCTAGTGTCACATAACGCATTACACAACCACCACCAACCATTACCCATACTGTGTTCCCCAACAACCATGCTGTGTTCCCCACCACCCATACAGAAATAAGTCACTCTGACTTTTTTGGGTTATCCTAGGTTGATGGTCATCTGGGTTTTCTGCACTATTTCTGGTATCCTGGGCATTGCTTTTGGTCACAAACTCCTCAGAACCATGAAATTCATCATTGCTGACACTTCCATCTATGTCAGAACTATCACTTGGGAATAGAAGAGTCCCAATTCGCCAGGGAGTGAGGTACTTCTTACCACAAAGCATGGTAAACAAAGCCTACTGAAATGGCACTTCCACAATGCAAAATGGCTCCCAGTTTTTTTTTATACTGCGCACTGACCACGCAAACCCCTTTCACACACAGGTCTACCAGCTTTCTCTGGCTAGATCTGAAGCCGCTAGAATTTTGGCATATAGTGGACCCTTGGGTAACGACATTAATCCATTCCAGAGAGATTGTCTTTAACTGATTTTTTCGTTATCCGAATGAATTTTCCCCATAAGAAATAATGGAAATCCAATTAATCCATTCCAGACACCCAAAAGTATTAAAGAAAATAATTTTTTTAAATGAAATTTCCCTACACAGAAAACAATGAGACATGCAGAATAAACAATACTGAAATGACACTTACCTTTATTGAGGACTTTTTGATGAGTGATGAGATGGGTGGAGGGCAGAGGATGGAGGAGTTTATGGAGGGGATTCCCCTTCCATAAAGACTTTAGGTAACAAGTCCTTTTCTGGGGTTGTCTCCCTTCTTTGTTTTTTAATGAGTTAGCCTGTCTTTCATAGGCTTGTGTCAGTGCCTTTTCCTCCTGAGTAATGTAGGTCCTGTTTGGCATTTTCTTCCAAAACAGGCCTGTTTCATCACAATTGAACACTTGTTGGGGGTTTTAATTTTTCAGCCTCTATGTGACCCTTAAAGTCCTGCACATACTTTTAAGCCACTCTTTTGTCAGAACTGGCAGCATCACCATGCCTTATCACACTGTGTATGCCACTACAATTCTTAAATCTCTCAAACTAGCCTTTGCTGGCCTTAAATTCATCAACATGAGCACTATTTGGAGGCATTTTCTTAATGAGATCTGCATGCAACTCCCTTACCTTTTCACATATTACTGACCGAGAAACTCCATCTTCTGATAATTGTTTCTCATTGATCCGCACCAACAACAGTCTCTCCACATCTTTGAGTATTTGCGATCTCTGTTTTCTAAGCATACTTGCACCTTTCTCAACAACGGCTCCCTTGATTTCCTTTTTGTTGGCCATGATAGTAGCGATGGTTGAATGGAGTTTGTTATATAACCTAGCCAACTCGGAGACACGCACTCCACTTTCATATTTTGTGATCTCTTTCTTCAATAGTACAGGTCTCCCTCAATATTTGCGTTTTCAACTTTTGTGGGCTTCACACACTCACAAATTCCCAGCCGCCATATCATATTTAAGTTTCCCACCACCTGCGAGTCCCTACTACCCTCCCTCCAACCCCCGCAACTGGCAGCCAGCCCTCCCACCAGTGTGGTGAGTGTTTTGTTTGTTCATTATTGCTATTAAACTACAGTATAAATAATGTAAACCCATTCATGACTGCATATTGGAATGGCTATTCGGACAGGTATTGGACGGTGACGTGTTTACTCTTGAACACAGCAAAGAATCAAACATTTCTGCTACTGCTAATAATAATAACAATAATAATAATAATAGTAATATAATAATAATAATAAATACGATAGAATTGAAGAAGGAAATTGTACAAAAATACGAGGGAGTGCTTAACACATTCTCAGTGTGGCTTTGTTTATGCTGGAGTGAGAATTAGTCTCTGTGCTCTTCCAAACATTTCACAATAATTCATTGTGTTTGGTGCTTGTAGATTGAGTGCTACTGGAGTGGTAGAGGCAGTGGGTGAGGCAGCGGTTGAGGCAGTGGATAAGGCAGTGGGCAAGGCAGTGGGCAAGGCAGCGGTTGAGGCAGTGGGTGAGGCAGTGGGTGAGGCAGTGGTATTTAACCCATTCAGGGTTTCGGCCGTACTAGTACGGCTTACACACCACAGTTTTTGACGTACTAGTACGCCTAAATTCTAGCACCCTCAAATCTAATGAGAGAAAGCTGGTAGGCCTACATATGAAAGAATGGGTCTATGTGGTCAGTGTGCATGGTATAAAAAAAAATAATGCAGCACACAGTGCGTAATGAGAAAAAAAAACTTTGACCGAGTTTTTGGATTAAAATAGCGACTTTGCACTGTATTTTCGTATGGTATTCATTGTTTTATTCTAGTTTTCCTGGTCTCATTTTATAGAATGGAAGACATATTATAGAAATTGAGATGATTTTGACTGGTTTTACAATGCAAAGTACCTTGAAATTGAGCTCAAAGTAGCAGAAATGTTTGATTATTACCAAAGTTCAAAAGTAAACAAATCATGCTATGTGTCCAATACACGTCAACTGGCGAGTCTAATATTCTTTCACAAGTGCACTGATATTATTTATACCATTTCTACACTAATGCAGTAGTCTGCATGACAGTAAATCTTCTATTTTTTTGTGAGAATAAAAATTCAAAGTGGAAAGCAAAAGAATGCAAGAGGGGCATGGGGATGTGACTAATGAACAGAGGAAATGTTATTTTAGTGCCAGGAATGCCTTTCTTGTTTATTCTGGACCCTATTTGGAAATTGGCATCTTTTGAAATGTGTGTGAAATTGGCAAAATTGCTAAATTCTGACCACTGTATTGGATAGTTGAAATCGGTAAATGGGTGGTTTCTTGACCTCATTCGATAGAAAAAATGGAGTTCTAACGAAATAGTTATGATTTTTATCGACTAGTACACTGGAATTAGCCGAAAATAGGTCTCAAAGTGGGCAAAATTCCTGATGCGTAAACATCGTCGAGACTGCTAAATTCGCTACAGTATAATTCCGTAAGTTTTCCATCAAATTTCATACTTTTGGTGTCATTACGATCGGGAAAAGATTCTCTATCTTTCCATGAGAAAAAATATTTTTTTTTTTTAAATTTGGCCGACCCTGAGAACAAGTCTCTGAGAGGGCCTGTCGACCCTGAAAGGGTTAATAACATACATGTTATTAATATGTATTATTATTATTATTTATAACATGTTATTAAATACCACTACCTCAACTGCTGCCTCTACCATTGCCTCAACTGCTGCCTAAACCGCTGCCTCTAACAGTGCCTCAACCACTGGCTCACCCACTGCCTCAACCACTGCCTCAACCCGCTGCCTCACCCACTGCCTCAACCGCTTCCTCAACCACTCCAGTCGCACTCAATCTACAAGCACCAAACACAATGAATTATTGTGAAATGTTTGGAAGAGCACGGAGACTAATGCTCACTCCAGCATAAACAAAGCCACACTGACGATGTGTCAACCACTCCCTCGTATTTTTGTACAATTTCCTTCTTCAATTCTATCGTATTTATTATTATTATTACTATTATTATTATTGTTATTATTATTAGCAGTAGCAGAAATGTTTGATTCTTTGCTGTGTTCATGAGTAAACACATGATGTCACCGTCCAATACCTGTTCGAATAGCCATTCCAATATGCAGTCATGAATGGGTTTACATTATTTATACTGTAGTTTAATAGCAATAATGAACAAACAAAACACTCACCACACTGGTGGGAGGGCTGGCTGCCAGTTGCGGGGGTCGGAGGGAGGGTAATAGGGACTCGCAGTGGTTGAGGAAGTGGTGGAGGCATTGGTGGAGGCAGTGGTATTTAATAGCATACATGTTTTAAACCATAACATGTATGTATTTAGTGCAATTTACGATGTTTTCATGTATTTTATGACTGTTCATGGTTCAACAAGTTAAGGAGGCAGTATTGTATTATATTTCCCTACAATATTTTGGGGCACCAAACATTCGCAATTTTTCAACATTCGCGAGGCTCTTGATCCCCTAAAGCCTCGCGAATGTTGAGGGAGACCTGTATTTCTCACCCTCTTTACCACAGGGCTGGCACTAGAAGCTTTCTTTGGGCCCAAGGTGGCTTATTTAGCAGTCACAAGCACTAAAAACAATGGAATAATACAAAATACATCGCATGTATGCGTGGAATCATCCTCACTGGCTTGTAAACAATGGCACACTGGATGTACATGGAGTGGCTGGGCAGTTCAGGCCACGC